CTGTTTTCCTCACTTATTTGTTTAAATAGAAAAGTTAGCTAATAAAAGTTTTTGACTCGCGAGACGAGAGATGTCTTGTATTATGTTCCTTTAGACAATTTTACAATAATCTAGCGGATAGGACTTTTTTCGAGTAAAAATTTAATTTGCTTGGTCTATACCTACTTATCTGTATTTTATATTTCACGATTTTCTGGCAGAATTTAACAAGCAATCTAGCGCGCCTCGAATCAGCAGATATTTGGCAACACTGTGAGAAATTATACACTTCGTGACCAGCAACTGGTGCGGAAATATTTGTCTTGAAATGTGGACGATAGAAAATTGTATTTAAATATTATATTAATTGAAAAAAAACCATACCTCATCAGGGATCGAACCCCGAACCTTTAGATTAGTAGGACAACGCATAACGCTTTGAGCCACGAGACCACATCTATTTAGTTTCGATAACCTGGCTTATATACTTAACGTTGTGCATCTTGTGATATAAACAATAATTATAATGAATATATTGGCATACGGCAGGATACCAGTAATAATATTATTGGCATATTTTGAAGAATTATCAAAAACAATAAAAAATAAATTGTTGCATACCTATTTAAAAAAGACCTATTTATTTGTCAGTTTAGAGAAAGTATAGTGTTGTAAAGTATTTTCCATGGTAATTATTTGTTTAAATAGAAAAGTTAGCTAATAAATGTTTTTGACTCACGAGATGAGAGATGTCTTGGATTATGTTCATTTAGACCAGGGGTCGGCAAGTAATTTTAGGTGGGGTCCGGATAATTTTGAAAATTTTTAACGAGGTCCAGAAAAAAAATTAATTTCTCTTATTTTTTTATTTTAATTTGGACTCAATTTTAATCTGCTTACTTACATTAAGAACTCAAAACACTTACGCAATTGTAAAATACTAGAAAAAATGATAACATTGGCACTTAAACGTAAAAAAACATTTTTTAAATAATTTATTTGAGTAATTTATACTTTCAAAAAATTTTTGGCGGTCCAGTATTTTACCTTCCGCGGTCCGAACCTGGACCGCGGTCCGCCAGTTGCCGACCCTTGATTTAGACAATTTTACAATAATATCGCGGATAGGACTTCTGGAGTACACATACAGACAGTTTCTATTAACGGCAAAATTTTCGAACTTAATATGAAGAGATGACGCTCACTAATTCCCCAATAAAAACTGATGTACAGTTTCCGTCCCTAGGAAATGATTAATCGCTGTCCAATAGGGATCATTATGTGCTCGAGCGTTGGCGGAAATCAATATTTTTTTTAACCGCATTCCATAACAAAGTCATTCTAGTAACTAATTTTCCCTTTTTAAAGATCTCTTGAAACATGGGCGAACAAGCTTCCAGTAGTGGACCCGCACGTTTCAGTTACAAATAGGAGCGAGGGTGTTTTCCATTGTTTAATTAATAATTACTGATGGTCAGAAAGCATGTCGCTGTTTGAGAGTTTCCAACTCTCCAGAATTAGCGGAAATCCGCATCCTTTGTATGACTTTTTCACTTCCCGCAGTTTTGTTTCTTTAACTATCTGTTCTTCTGAAATAAGAGGCGGCGTTTCTTTTTCAGTGAACATTGGTAACCATGAAACGGTGCGTCGATAGGGTTATTTTAATAATTAATTCATAAATTAAAATTTCAAGGACAACGCACTTAAATACAGAAAAAAATAACACCTATCATTCTAAAATAAAATACAAACATCATTCAAGTCCAATCAAAATAATTTGGAAATATTTCCAGCTTTTCAGGCAAATCCATTTATTGTAATTTGTCTGTAAGATTATTCACAGTAAGGAGGGGAATGAGGGGTACCAAGAGTAACACTTAACACGTCCGTATATGCGAGAAAAGTAAAAAAACTAGCTGATATACGAGTAATATCATAGAGGTGTAGAAACCACAAGAAAAATTAAACTTAGCCATGTCAATTTTTTGTTAGGTCGAAATTAGGCGCTATTATACCGAAACTCATGGTTTTAGTTTGGGAGATTAAATAGGGACAACCCTTACCAGAGGAATAATAAATCATGAACCAGTCAACGCAACAAAATACCGTATTTGTGGACAGATCGTAACCTTTGGCGGTTGCCCTTCTAAACTCTCAAATCATACCTTACCGTTTCCACTTCTTATTTAGATAAAGATAGATGGGAGAAGAACTTTGTTGCAGCCCTTATCCTTGAATATTTTGATTATTTAATGTT